ATATGATAGCAGTAGTAGTTTAACCATAAAGTTACTAGAAACTACAGCAGATTCAGTAGAAAAAGAAAAAAGGGAATACTAAATATTAAATTTTCAAAGCATATTTATCTGTGCAGTATCTGTGGAGGAACCTGTGCTGAAACTGTAGATTCTTTGAAATGTGTCTCTTTATTTGAGCTCAACTTCAGGTGCAGATGCCCTTCTTGAGCCTTTGATCACAGATTTTTTGTTCAATGTGTACTGGGCCAGCACATGCATCCTATACACCAGGGATGGGCAATCATTTTTTACCGGAAGGGATGGGGCCAGGTTACTTCCCTGCTTTCCCCTCTCCCCACAGACCATGATTGGTCTGGCGGTGGAGGGAGTGAATGAAGTCTTTGCTCTGCCCCAGAGGTTCCCCCTAGGCACCCATGCCCCTGGTGGTGGGCAGAGACTTTGTATGCTCCCCTTTCTGCCCCCAGGCCAATCAGGGCTTGGGGGTGGTCGGAGCGTGCAAAATTTCCTCCCACCCGGCCAGGGGCGCATGGCACTTGTAAGCGCCGCGTGCTCCTGGCAGGGCAGGAGGAAACTTCATGCGCTTCCCCCAAAACCCTAATTGGCCTGGGGGTGGGGGAGCACGCAAAGTCTCCTCCCACCCTGCCAGGAGCATGTGGCACTTCTAAGCACTGCTCACTCCTGGCAGGAAGGGGCAGGGCAGAGGAAACTATGTGCATTTCACTCCACCCCCAAGCCCTGATTGGCCTGGAGGCAGAGGAGCACGGAAGTCTCCTCCTACCAGGAGCACATGGAGCTTCTAAGCGCAGCATATTCCTTGCACAGCGGGGGCAGGGAGGAGGAAACTTTGTGCGCTTTCCCCCACCCCCAGGCCCTGTTTGGCCTGGGAGCAGGGGAGCGGCAGGGCCTCCATGGGCTGGATCAACCCACTTGGCAGGCCAGATCCGGCCCGCAGAGGCCCTTTTTCCCTTTCCTGCTACCTTCACATGCTATACAGTGACATTATATAGGGCTGCAAAAGTGAACTGCCCTGAATGTTTTCTCTATCCAAACCTCCTACGGAGAACAGTCCAAACCAAAGGGAAAGGATGGCAGATAGAGGAGAGATACATCTTGAAGAAAAATAGTTACTACATGGGGGAAGAAGCTTTTATTCCTTGAGGGGTTTCCCTAATGAGCACTCTACTCCAGATGACTCCTAATCAATATCCTCACAGGGAGGTTGAGGAAGCTTCAGAATTCAGTACAGAACTGATAACAGGACCACATTACCTAGTGCCTCATAAGATCTAGAAACATGAATCAAGGCACAGTGCTTAGAAAAAGTATTTATTGAAGCTCATGTAGTGCCCTTACATATTATTCAAAAAATTCTAACATCTAAGATGCCATGGATGTTGCTTGCAAGCTGGTGTAGTACACTATCATCCTATTGGAGGGCTGAAAGCAACAACAGTCTAGATGACTTCCAAAATTGCTTAGTTATATCTAGACAGAAGACTGAGGAGCGTATGATTGCTAAGGTATGAAAAGAGGTCTCCTGTTGAGACTTATGTAGCTTTGGGAAAAACACTGGTGGATGAATGATTTGGCTAAGATGAAAGCCTGAGAATACCTTAGGCAAGCATTCAGGATGTGATTGTAAAGAAATGTTGTCTATGAAGAACGTCATTAAGATGATCTACCATTAACTGCACTTTCGCATCCTCCAAACTCATGACCCTTCTCACCCCTCATGCTTGCCTTGACTCCTATTTCCTAAACCCTGAGTCCTCCACACATCCCGACCCTCCGCCCTGACTCCTGCATTCCCCCAAACCCAAAACCCTGCCCTGACTGCCCTCAAACCCCCATGTACCCCAGCTGCCTGCCCTGAGTCACTTCATCCCATACTTAAATGTTTTTCAGGTACTGTCCTGTACCCCTGAGCCCCTGCTCTGACCCTTCCTCAAGGGGTGGGGGTTGTGATTGGACAGTTCCTGTAATAAATTTAGGTTATTTTCATTCATGCCGAGGATACCCTTCTGAACTATATTTTCTATACAGGACTTAACATGGATTTTTTTACTTTGAATTGAAAACCCAATTTCAGGAAAGGAGAAGGAGCCATATGAGCAGATGACCATATTCTTCATGTGATGGGCCCCTGATCAACCATTCATCAAAATATGAGAAAACAAAAATTGCCTCCTGACAAAGGAAAATAGCTACTACTGCTAGGACCTTTGACAATACCCCTGGAATTGAGGAAAAGCTGAAGCAAAGTATTCAATATTGAAAATAATCTTAACCTATAATGAATATGGAAACAGAGCCAACTTCTTGCCTCTAGTGAAGGGATTATAGGTGCCAAAGTTGCCATCCTGAACTGTTGAGACTTTATACATTTGTTTAATAGTCTTCAATTCAAAATTGGTCTTCTGTCATCTATTTTTTTTTTGGCAAAAAAAATACCTTGTATAGGATACCTAAAGCGCTGGGATTAGCTCTAATGGCCCTAATTGAAGGAGTCTATTTCTTGTCTCAGTAAAAGATCATGAGAAAGGTCCTCGAAGAGGAGTGGGGAGGACAGATGGAATGGAGAAAGGGACATAACGTGGATAGATTTGAACCCTTGAATGATAAAACTTTTTGATGATGAATGTGCACTTGCAGGAGGAGAATGGGCAGCTCTCTTTCTTTCCAACAAATGTCTCTTATTGAGGGATTGGGGTGGATGGGTATGTTTTTGGAAACTTGGAGAATTAAAAGAAGCAAAATATCTGGGCAGTTTGTGACCTACTAACTCTTTTATTCTTACATATGTAGATAACCAGAGATAGTAGCTTTTAATGTGCAAAACAGCTTCAGACCATCTAATGGGAGTGTTCTGAACTTCTCTCAGAAGCCCTGAAAGCTGGAGTCATGATTCACTGCATGTAACTAACACATAGAAATGGATCAGACTGCAATATATGTGGTATCTAAAGATGCCTGAAGAAATGACCTAGCTGGTAACTCAGTGATAATGGTCTGAAATTGTTCTCTCTGCTCTTGTGGAAGATGATCAGGAAAAGCAGTACATTTATAGTAGTTTATGAAATTATATTTAGCCAAGGTCACTTGATAGTTTGTGATCTACCATAATGCGTCATGGATGAGCAATCCAAAGAAGTCCAAGCACTATCAAATACTTTAGCGTTACTAAGATGATCTTATGAGAAGCATTCCTTCTACAGTGCTCTAGTGAGATGGATTCCTCCATAGCACAAAGAAAGCCAAATTGCTGGGGTCAAGACTGAATCATTTGTGCTGGCCAAACTCATTAGTTTAGGCTGACATGCTGAACTCTTGTAGGTAACCTGAATGTCATAGCAAAGCAAATGTTATTCCTTGCATTTCCTGAGACGAGAACTAATTAGAGTGCCCCAATGCATTGGTGTATGAAATTGGAAGTTCTATATACATTATGTACACTGTTTCTGCTCTTTTCAGGGATGAAAACATCCGTTTATTAATTTAAGTTACTATCAAAGCTAATCAAATATAAACTCATGCTTCAGGAAATTACTGCAAAAGATGTTTTGAAGTGTTTTTGACTTCAACATGTTTCAAATCTCTGTCACCAATCACAGACAGGAAAATGGAGACAGTGAAAATAACTTGCCCAAGATTGCACACAAAGAACAAGAAACATAACTGTGTGTAAAGTGAAATATTTGAGGACTTTATCAACTTAGGTTAGGCTTAGTTGAAAAGACAAAAGCAAAACACACTTGAAAACTGAAGAAACTACTGCACATTTTTTATACAGAAGGTGGTCATTGGCGATACCAACCCAACAGGCACTGTGTCCCTCGCTATGTACTATATGCATATGAATAGTATGTAAAACATCACCAATATGCAATGGAACATAGACAAATAAATTAAGCCTCTTACACCTCACTGTATATTTATTTTCTCCACTTAAGAGATAAATCAAATTAATAAAGAATGTTGTTGTACCCAGTTGTGCTAAACATTTGGTATACAAGATCACACTCTCATCTGAGACTCTTGTAATGTTCTCACAGAAGAGGTCCAAAATAAACAGAGAATAGCAACTCTATAGTTTTTTTCTTTGTTAGGTCAATTGAGACACTCAATGTTAATGTAATCTTGCTGTTTATACTTAATAATCTGATTGGCAGTAATGGAACAATAAAACCTCTTTAAAATTGCTTTAAAAAGAAAAGCATTTGCAATGAATATGGATACTCCAACCTTTCACTACAGCTTTATTAATTGAGAAAATGAGAATCAGGAAAAAATCTTATTGTTCAAAATATTGGAAGATATGGGCTTCTTTTTGACAAGGTTCCACACATATATACAATAAACCCTTTGTATTTAACAATAGGTAAGTAATAACAACAGTAAAATTACCCTGCTCTCCAGCTGTTTCTGTATATTGTGTAGATGTTGGTTTAATCTAATGTGTATTGTTGCATAATATCCCCAGGCACAGTCAAGTAAAAGCTAAAGCTGTACAAAAAAGCCTACATTTTAAATGGGTATTGTCATTAATGCTTTATTAATTGCCTCAGGCAATGCAACTCACAGCTAGGCAAGCTATAACAATATGACACTTTAAGGTCAAATCCAATTTCTGCTGCATTTTATGGACTGGGCCAAATATTGAGTTAACAGCAGGAAAGAACAATTTATTGGGCTTTTCTTCATCTTCTGATTAACTGATATAAATTAGATCAGATTTTTTTGCAGAAACAAAGCATGTTTTAAACCCTTAACATGCTAGAATCTGTTTTTATGTTTTCTGTTTTAGCAACAGTATTTTCTGAAAGTCATCTTCTATTTAAAGTGTGTCTGATATACTGGGTTTTTATGTCAGGGTACTAAATCCAAAAAGCCTCTGAGCCTACGTAAAATAAAATATCAGAAATGAAAATTTCATAAACTACAGCATCTTGTTATGTAACACAACACATTAAATTAATTAATATATGTTAAATTAAACCTACCTTCACATCTGAGGTGTCTCTTTGGCTATTTCTCCAAGATCTTGCCACTGAAGAGAAGGTTCGATCTGGATGGTCAAATTTTGCATCATTTGCATTAAGAAAGAATGTTGTGAAGGGCTCCTATGATCAAACAAATGAATATGCAAGTAAGAAGAATACAGCAGAACAGATCACACATCAGTTTCCTGATAAAATATGAGAAATGTTTAAGTTTAAAATGACTAGAATAAAGAACTATTTGGGATTTAATTTTACACACACGTGCATGTGCACACACCATACACACACAAACACTTTGATAATGAATTCTGTACCGTACAAAACGGACTGCTGCAAAGGAAGAATACAAAATTGCATCCTCTGTCATAAGACTAGTATTTCCATGATAATTGGTAAGCAGGCATACTCTGGCACTACTTCTATTGAAGTCATTATAAACACTCTCTTTCTTACATATAACACTATGCCTAGTCTGATCAGCACAAGACTGTGCATTCAAATTAGATCATGTGAAAGCACTTACAAAGTTTTTATTTTAATATAATGCTGCAGTCTAGTCCTGTTTTCTTCTTAGCTGATCGGATTGGGTTGAGATATGGTGACTGTTTTGACAGGTTACTAAAATGGGGGAGAGGAGGCTGACTTTATTGTTATTTTGGGGGCAGATGATAGAATGAGGTACAGATTTGATTTTGTTCTATGTAATATTGATTCTTTGTTCATGGTAATGAGTGAAATATAAAGATAAATAACTCAGAGTCTAGGAAAGACACTAAAAATCAAAATAAATAAAGGACATTTTATTTTATATTGTTCTATTCTGAATAGCTATGATATACTCTAAGGATGCATCTGTACTGCACCATAACTTAAAATAAGACACACAATTTGGGCTATGCACATTGTTTATCTTTTTTCGATATTATTTCAAAGTTGCTTATTTATAACAAATCAGGATTCTGTATCTTTAAGGGTTAATTGTATTTGTTTCAGCAAGCTATCTACGCTGTGTAACATACATCAGAACAAGACTTGTGTACAACCCAATCACTGTGTAACCTATATACACATCTCTCTAATTCCCTACTTATCGTTTGTGCCTCTGATTTGTATCATATCAACCATTAGATCAAATAGCAAGTATGTATTTAAACATTTTTACAAAAAAGTACTGTATCCCAGAAACCACTAATTCTCAAAAGATGTGACAGCAGATAAGTGATAGGGGTCACAACTGAACATGACAACCCAGTGCGATGCCACAACTAGAAAGGCAAAGATTTCCTTATTTGTTCTCAGCTTAGGAGCCTTGTCTTATTCCTCAGTGTCTGTTAAGATGAGTATGAAATTAACACATTCTATTATATAGGATATGATATTCTTGCTACTGTCTAGTACATAATTCCAAATGCTGGATCTTTTATTCTGCCTTTTTCTTTTTTTAATGCCTATGAAATTATGCACAACAAATATATATTAAAAATACATTTAAAATGCCAGTTACAAAATGAAGGCACTCTAAAACTTAGTAACAGCAAGTTTCCTCAAGCATCTTTGTCCATGCACCTTGATGCTCTCAGTAAATGTTGGATTAAAATAATTACATCCTGTTTTGTTTGCAGGACACTAATACATGTTGCACAGGAGTCCAGAAGATTCCCCACATGGTTGTTGTGGGAATCAGACAGCATGCAGCAAGTGAGGCAGAAATCCATATATTAAAGCAAGGGGAGTCAACAGGCAGACTGTGGGCCAAATACAGACTGTCAGATGGCTTTAAATGGATCCCAAAATCTTTTTATTTTAATATTTATCTAAAAAAACCTTTTCCTGCAGGATGACAGAGTGACATCATCACATCACTCTATGTCCCACCTGCCTCCTCCTACACCTCTCCCCTTTTAC